AGATTTAAAATTGCCCAGATCCCTCCCGCCCCCGCAGGCCTGAAGCGAAGGCCCTGAAGGACAGCGACGAGCAGCCGACAGCCCCGGGCGGCCTGTTGCCCCCAGAGTAACTTCCCCTTGTTCTTAAGCAAACAGGCAGGGTGGGAAACCCACAGAGGTTGTAATTTTTTTTTTTTTTCCTTAACTGGCCTTCAAAGGGGATCTTGCTGTTCGGTTTTGTGGGTGCAGCCTAACAGAGCTGCTCTTCCGTATATAACCTCTGTACTCGCCCTGGCTGGAGCATCGTGCAGCCGGCGCAAGGCGTAAGCGTAAAACGCGTCCTCGCGTACGTTTTGCCAGGTTTCTCCTACGCAGAAAAGCAGAAATGTCCTGATGAAGGCGGGCCAGGGCAGGGGTCCTCGCCCCGCGCTAGAAACAAGGCTGACTTGGGATAAACCGCTCACAAGGCTCTTGCTACCTGCTAGCCCACCTCAGCGGTCGTTTTGGTGGCGAGAACTAATTTCTGGAGAAGGAGTCATACAATGCCAAAAATGCCATCCAGCCCAAATTAATGGAAAGTAAGCGTTAAAAAAATGAATTCAATCCAGATCAGTTGGTTTTCAGTCTAGTTACTGGTAGCGTAGTTAGAGAACGACTCGGTGCTCTCACACATTTTGAGAGAGAACGCGTATTACGCGTCAGCCTTGGATATCATGTGAATGCCTGTACTTACAGGAAAGCGGTTTGGTAAGGTTTAGTTTGGATAGTTTGAAATCTCCACCATACATCATACGTTTCTAAGGCCAGCGCTATTTCTAATGGACTAGGGCATCAGCTTATAATCAGATGGGAAGGCCTGGGAGGGGGGGGGAAAAGAGAGTTTCATCTTCCTTAAACTCTCCTGGTCATCATTAACTGTGTTTCCACAGAGAATAAATTCCAGATGCCGGTTCACTAACTAAAGAATGTTCCTCAGGAGATGCTGTGCTAAAGACTTCACTCATTTGGGAAGACAAGTCCTGGAGAAACAGATCACCAGAAGAACATGATAGGTGAGCTGCGATAAGGCAAGTTATCCATACCTACCTATATCACCTATATTCACTGATACTTAATTCTGTCCAAAAAGTGTCATTGGCACCCTCAACTGAAAGGAGACTGTTCCGTTTCTTGATGTAACTTCTCATTATTCTTTTATGTATAATATACCCTTTGCATACATATATTATATTTGAGCAGATAGCCTTATCAAGTAAACTACGTGATTTTCACCAAGTCCTCAAAGCATTCTGGTCTTCCAGTCAACATCACCTTCACCTTTCAGGCTGGATGCCAGCCTGCTGGCTTTCATCCAGTTCCTTGTTTCTTCCAGGCACTAGATAAATCTGGCATCTGAGTCAAAAAGAAAAGGAAACGTAGAACTGTGTGTCATCAAATTACCAAAGACAGTACAGTCCATTTCAATTTATAGATGTTGAATGGAAGAATTAACAGGACTGATCCTTTTGGGGAATGACATTTTATTCTGGGGAAGTGAGGAAAAAGAGAGATCACTCAATCGCTTCTAAGAGTAAGTAAAAAGAAATAAGCAGACCATTTTAACGCAATCTCTCCACCCTGCCAGGTTACACAGCTGTTTCAGAAATGCTTCATGCCATGTCTCAACCATAAACACCCAACAGTGTTTCGATCATAGCTGCGGTTGCGAGACATCACTACATTGCAGACTCAAGGGTCATCGTGCATTACTTCGTTCATCTGAATTTCTTTCCAGTGGAAATTTACCTCTGAATTTTCTGGATTTATAGTGTTGCTCTGAAATCATTTCAACAAGCTTGTGATTTTTCATCCTCAAACTAAAATGCCTGCTCTCAACATGACTGTAGAATTTCAAGAGCTTTCTTTTAATATTTGCCCTCTTCCCACTAAATTCTGTGCCACTAAAAGTCTAACTATAAACAAATAAATCCAGGGCTGGGAACTGTAATCCCCATATATTATCTAGTTATTTGCTTTGAAAGGATAAGAGGATTCAGAGCAGAAGTCATCCTGTGACTCACTGAAGAAATGGTTCTGTTTGACCTTTTTATGCTTCTACCTTCCCTTTCTTCTCATCAGTTCCACCTATCATTCTTCTCATTTCCCTGCAATTAAATAGAAACATTATTTGTTCATGTTCGTGTCAGGTTGCACAGAATTGTCTCATGCTGTTACTGCTATTTACATTACCCAGATGACATATTGATGAAAATACACTAGAGCAAACTTCTCTACCTACTCCAGAGTAATTGTGTCAACAATAATCTACAGTCAACCAACAACAAACGTTATTATGTAGTGTGCTCATTTATGGAACTTATTTTTAAGGAACACTAGTTTGTAATTCCCTCAGTAGTGAAACATCTGCAAATTCTGGCCTTCACTTTCATAGGTTGTGCCTCTGAGTGCTGTTCGTTTCAACTGTCGTTCTGGATTCACTATATTCTGAAAAATCAGATTCACATCCCCGTTTTACATTCTTCTTTTGGAATTGATCTCCCATTGTATAGCCTGCGACTGAAATTCACACCAGTTATATATCAGAGGTACCCAATACTTTCTTTTAGTGGCTTCTATAAAGTTATCTAAATGCATTAATACCAGCAGGTTTATTAATTCAAGTTTTCTGATACTCTTTTTTTCCTACTTTTTTCCATCTCTGTTACACAAGAGGGATTCCCAAGGAAACAATATTATTTCACCCTGATTTTATGTGTTGTTACAGCATGTATGTCTCTCACCATCCTTATTCGCATTTCTTTCCTCACAGCAACTACAAGAGTAAACAAATTGGTAGATTTGTCATTAAATTATGCTAAGTCTAATTCTTTCCTGAAAAGGTGGGGCTAACAGCTGCTTTATAATCTTTGGTACAAGGGAGAATTTCTCTGTAACTAGTTATTTCCTTTATTTTTGTCCTAAGTTGAAAAATTCATTTGGAAAATACCTTTATAAGGCTGATATGAAAAGAACATTGAAGTATTCTGCTATGGATTCTGCTATTCTATTCTATAAAGGAATAGAGAAAATTGGACACATATTCTTGATTGAATGCCTCCAGCGTTCAGACTCTCAGTGGATCAAATCAGATGTATGCCCAGCAAGAAATGCACCTTATAAGACTCTTCCTGGATGCATTTTGCAAGGAACTCCTCAAATTCCTCTCAAGGAAGCATAAATCTTTGTTTTGCAACAATCTGTGATTCCTGGTTCCTATTTTAAGTACTACAAAACCATCATTGACTGGTTTACTGATGCAGTCTTGGATCTTTCCCAGCCTTCCCCCGTCTAAATTGAGGAAGCTAGTAATATTGTATAACATCACCTACATTTTCCATCTGGTTTCTTTCAGGGGGGATTTTGCTTACTGTGTAGAATTTTTTTCTGCTCCTCAGTTTGATACTTCCCCATAAGGGATTTGAAGAATGCTAGATATTTTTGGATAAAAGTTAGTTTTCTGTATTTGTTACCTCTCACCTCTCATAAAAGAGGGTTATCCATAGTCTGTACAGTACTTCCCTACCTGTATGTCAAATACACTTGGTGAAATACCCCTTCCCAATTTCTCTGATGTAAATGATCTGTCTACAGTAGAGGAAAAAATGTTAATCTTTTAGCTAGTGCCCCCTAACTAGGGTTAGACAGGCGGCCATTTGTTTTCTGAGTGGAATACTTAATAAACATAATATCTAGGGTTTGGGAGTTTTTGTCCAGAACAGTTATACACACACATACACATTCATAAAATCATAATATGATCAATTCTAATAACTTTATCATGTCTCACCGCTGTAACTTCATTTAAATGGTTAGTCTGAAATATTCTCACTGAACTAAATGTGATATCTAATAAGCTAAATTAAAGGAATAGGTAAAAAAAAGTCTTTACAGGATCTTAAACATACTCGTATTTCTGGCCAGATTTGTCTTTTCAATTTTGAATGTTGTTCAGTTAGTTGAAACTAAAAGGATTTTCTGAAAGAAGCTAAAAATTTCTGCCTAAGTACAGTTCTTCAGTTATACATTTCTCAGCGGTCTGTTAGATGTTTGACCCGTATAATCAATATTTCTGAATAACCAGGCAGTGTGTGAATTCCTCTACTCTAGAAGACCCTGATAACAATAAATCAAGGATTTTGTTTTCAAGAGTGTAGCAGTTCTACAGCTAATTTGGAAGAAACATACCAAAATCATACAAAAGTCTATATTTTTATTGGTCGCTTATTGGCCCCTTCACTGGTATTAAAAATTGTCCCCAAGTTAGGCACTTCGGTTTCCTTTTAACAGTTCTGGGTTGCCAGATACTATGCAGTTTTCCAAATCAGGAATACTGAGTATATAAAAATTATTTAATACATAGAGCAAGCGCTCATGTTATCACAGATGGTGCTTAGAGTTTTATCACATCTTCCTACAATTTATGGTTGCTGCATTGTCTTGTCTGTTTTCTGCCTTGTAATCCCACTTCTCTGACCCCTGCTAATTTTCTGAAACTCAAGCTGCCTCAGAAGACTCACCAGTATTCTTCAGCCCCACGTGACTTTTTTTTTTTATTCAGTCATAAGATTGTCCTTCAGAGTTTGGGTACAGAGTATCCTGTACCAAATCTCAGGAATACATTCATTCTTATTGTGGTGACAGCTTGAAAGTCCCAAATCTCCTGACTTTATACAAGAAACGTGAGTTTATCCTTTTTTTTAATGGAGTCTACCTTGTGATTCTGTCTGTGTAAATTCATTGTTCATTATTAAAAGTAATAATAATAGTCTCAATTATTATGAATAATAATGAACAACAATTCCTTATTATTTTGACAGTAATGCCTAGAAGGCCTAGTCCAGTATCAAGACCCCAATGTCCTAGGTATTTATAGAAAAATAGCACAGACAACAGCCCGTTGCCACAGGAAGCCCAGAGTCAGAGAGCCATAGACAAAATGCAGCTGGTGGGTAACAGGTAAATGCAGTGTGTTGAAGCCTTGACAGCAATAAGATAAAGTTAGCAACACTACATAAATGGAAGATAACTGTTTTTTCCCCAGACATCATCATAAGACCATCTTAATCTAAACAATTTTCTGTCCTCTAGGCATCTTGCCGATTCAGTGTTCAGTCCCATTTCTAATCCATTAAGTTGGCTTGCCTCTCAGGATTAAAGTTTTGTTAAGGGTAGATATCTGTGTTACAGGTAACATACATCACAGGCTGGTTATACGTATCACAAAGCCATGCTGCATGTAACTCGAGGCAGTGTAAGAGTTAGTGATAAACTTGGATGAAATCCAAGCAAACTAGCATAAAGAGCTGCACTGTTACAGCACCTAGGGTATCTCAGGCACATCACTATAATATGACTAGGGTTTGGATGATTAAGGCATTTTAATGTCTGTGACCTCAGATGAGGTTAAATTAATCTTTAGAGAAATATAAAAAAAGATGCTTTTGTAGGAGGAGGGGTACTGCTGGAAGAGAATTGTTTAAACTTGTCCACAGTATCACAACAGTAGGAAGTGCAAAAGGTGCTGCATATCGATTCAGTGGAGACGGTGATGTCCGTACCTGCAAAACCAAACTGTTACTGAGATTCCTCATTCATTGCACCCATTTTAAGTTGAGGCCTCTGTGTTGGTGAGAGATAGAAAACATTGGTTTCACTTCACTCGCTTTTTTCAAAATCCAAAACCAGCTGGGCTTTAGCAGTTTGGATTTTCAAGTAAGGTTCATTCTCACAGACCTGGAGTATAGCAGCTTTGATAATGAAAACATGCCTGAAAGGGATGGTAATTAAAGCTTAGCATATGGTATTTTCTGTCTAGAAATCTACCTGTCTAGGTTTCACATCTGCCAAATGACTAGCAAATTAATCAGGAACTTCAACTAATTCAAATAATAGGTAAAAGCAGAAGTGGTAGCACTGCTAAACTGCCTCTAAAAGCATAGGGGGAGAGGACACTTTTTTTTTTTCCCCAAGCAAAGAGTCTTTCTTCACAGTTTTAGCTCCCAGTACATGAAGAAAGGAGTCAGTATTTTGTGAAAGTTCATTTTATACTCCAGAGACAGAAGGCAACTAGAATGACAAAAGCTAATACGTAATTGGCCAACAGCCTATTTCTTACGTATTGAGATCATTAGCACTCATTTGACACTTTCTAGTACTTTTTTCCTGAAAAAAATCCCCATGACACTGGCTGACACACCTCTGATAAAATCAAACACATAGTACAGCATGAAAAGTTTACGAAGAACAATATTAATCAACATTAATCAACTCTGTCATTTTACTAGGCTAAGGGAAAAATTGCATTAGGCCAAATTAGAGTCAGCAAATGCCTGATGCCACTACAATGCCTCCTTTGTGTTTTGTTCTCCAGAACAGAGTTCTGCCATACATTAAAAAAAAAAACACATATGGTTAAAACAAGATTCATTCACTATGTACACTAATATCATTATCACTTAATAATTATAATTTATTTCCTAATAAGGAGGAAATAAAAACATTTTAAAAAGAGATCCATGTGCACAAAAGCTTCCTATTTTTACTAGCAATATTAGTCAGTCTAAGAACATGTATGACCTTTGACCACAACTATTACCTTCCCTGAGATACATAGTCTCATACAAGTGAATGTGAAAAATAAGTTAGATGTGCTGAAAGACAGCAAAAATAGTTGAAATATTAATAGATGATAACTTTATGTTTTTGCTCTTGTTTCCAGCTTTTCCTGAGGTGGAAAAAGAGGCAGCTTGAAAACATCATTTCTATCTGTTTTCCGGATGGACAGAAAAGATGTTGTCTAGGCAGAATTGTCTTGAGACAAAGGAGGCAAGGGACGATGGGGAAGAGGTAATAAAATATGACCTAGCTGCTGACATTTCATCTTACATTTCAGAGAAGGACATAAAAAGAAGTGTAGTGAATTTCCTTCTTCAAATGTAAAAGGACTTGTTTCAGTCTTAATGTGCCGTGAGCTAGTAGCTCAGATATCAGCTGTTAAAGCCAGCCTTGTCCTAATATAAAATTAGTGGAATATTCTTTCAAAAGCAGTTTTCTATGAGTTGGAAAGGAAAAGAGCACAACCAGCAACTATTCTAATATTTAGAAAGTAAACAATACTGAGCTAAAACTGCTGCATAGCCTATATTTCATTAAGCAGCATGCTGCAGCTCAGGTTAGTGCTACAAATTTGACGTGCCAAAAGGCCAAAACAGGACGCTTGGCACAGAAAGATTTCACAGCCTCATCTGTACTTTTACGTGGGGAGGAATTCCACGGCAAATTTCTGCCGTCTCTCCCTGAGCAAAACAGTGCAAGTATTGAAGCTTTCTAGCATCGGCCGCACTAGTGGACTGAATTTGTTTTGCACTTGAATTCAAGGGGCCAATAAATCCACTGAGTGTGCAAAAGCAAGAAGCTGAACCTTAGCTACACTGAGGTTCAGATGTTTACAATTACTGCAGTAATACAATCCTGTCCTAGTAACGCTTGCCTCATTACTGTTGTATTTCTCCCCAAAATGGGCTAGATTAATAGTCTTTTTTATTCTCCACCAATATATTAGAAGCAAAGATGCAAAGAAAATCCTCTAGCTATTTGGGTGCATTCTTCCCTCCATGTAGGTCTTGTATATGAGTTGTTCTGATGTAACTATCTTTCTGTGAGTGTATTTTCCCCTGTGCCAGCTATTTCAAAGGACAGTAAGCAAAAAGTCATCCATAACAATTGGTGGCATTTTATTGGTGATGCTCTGGATTTCATAGGTAATCACCTCTCATACACATTTTCAAGAGCATTAATGGCTGTTAGCAGTTCAAAAACCATAAAGTAACCTGTAACATACCCAAGTCCAAAACTCAGTGGTAAGAGGCATTAAAAAAATGAATTAGATATGGAAGTGAGGCATTGTTTCTTCTTTGAAAATCACTGTGGCCCAAGAGGAAACGTAGGGCACATCAGCATTTGATAAATCAGTGTCAAAACCTGGTTACTCTTCAGCTCATCAAGTTTCAATGAAATAGCAAGCTGCCTTCTCTAAGGAAATCAGTGATTTACACCAGTGACAGAGCTGTTCTTCTACTTTGCTCTCACTAACCACACAGACTATGGATCCAGTTTCCAGGTTGCAAGTTGAAGCTTTACCAACAATTTATTTGGTGCCTCCACCAAGAAAAACAAATAAAACCCCACAAGATGGAACATTTCATCTGACTTCAAAGACAACCTACTTGGATACAAAAAAAAATGTCATTTAGGGCATTGCAGCAGAAAATGGATAACCTCATTTCAGAATAGGCTGCTAGATTTTGCCATTCTGGCTATTACTCAAAGCACTTCAGTTGGCCAACACTTGAACATTCCTGTTACAGAGGAAAAAGCTAAGCCCTTTACCTCCTTGAGCAGATACAACATAAAATTTCAAAAATGAAGCGCCGCATCTAACCTGTGTTAGCAGAGTATTGCAAAACAGCTGACGATGTCACTGGTGACTCCTAGAAAGCAGTGCAGAAATGTCGGATACACGCTTCTTGTGTGCCTCAGAAAGAACCGTTTCTCCTTTCTAGTTAGAAAGTTGTCTCCTGTGACTTTGTCCACCTGGTGTAGCATCTTAACCTTTTATATGCTTCTCTGCTTATACTGCCCTGAAGCCTACACTGTTACTGCCATGCTTTAGTACCTTGCAACTATATTACTCCATTGCTTTATGTCCTGTTTTTTCCTGTATTGGTACATACGATGAGAGGCTGACAAAGACATCTCAGCTTTACTGTGCCCTTTCACAGAATAGCTTAAAGAGGAA